ACGTCAGGAGGCGCCGTGACATGCAGCGGCAGAGGCGCGAGCAGCAGCAGCAGCAGCAGCAGCAGTGGTGAGTTTACCTGGGGGGCCGTAGAGCAGCAGACCCTTCCATGGAGACCTGATCCCCGTGAACAGCTGAGGATACTGTGAAGAGAGAAGAACCAGTGGTCAACGTCTGACCCTGCCCTGAACAGTTAAAAGGACTGATGAGCGTGCCCCCCCAGCCCACCCCCTGACCCCCCCGAGCTGAGTCAGTGCTGCAAATACCACCTCCCTCCCAATCAGTCTAGATTCCAGGAGGCAAAAACCTCCAAACTGACCTTATATCTCCCACAATGAATAATAATGGAGGCTGGAGGGGCAGGGGGGGCAGAGGAGGGGGGGGCAGAGGGGACGCTTCCATTCAATAATAGAGAGACGGAGACATCAGTCCTCATCTGTGTCCGCAAATGTCAAGAGGATGCAGACGTCCTGATTGGTCGTGGCCGTGTCCAGGACAAAGGTCTGAGTGATGATGATGGAACTGTTGGAGGAACTTCCTGTCTCACACACACACACACACACACACCTAACTGTTTTAATGGGACTCTGTATGAATTAATTCACCCCCCGTCCTGCCAGTCCATCTATCTGTGTATGTGTGTGTCCACATTCTCCCAGGTATAGATTTCATGTCAGTCTAACAGACTGGTCTGACCTCTCTGCCCTCCTCTCTTTAAAGGAGATGTATTCACAACCGACCCCTGGTGGCCGCTGCTGGTATAGCAGCCACTTCAGGCGACTGCTGCCCACGCACCTTAATGGGATAGACCACGGCCTCTTTGACTAATCGCTTGGCGTCCTCCAGGCCGATGATGTCCTCCCAGCGCACGTTGGGGCTGTGCAAATAGATGTCCTACAAGGGACACGCACACACACACACACACACACACACACACACACACACACACAGGCGCTGTGCACACAAATTTAAAATGAAACGTCAGATAAAGGAAACAGATGGAGGCTTCATTAACATCACTGATCAATTCATTCACAACATAAAGGTCTGCTGCCCTCTGGTGGGCGGCCTCGGTATAACAAATGGTTGTGATGGTACAGTACTCTGCTGATGATGGCTGCCAGTTCTCCCATCTCTCCACTGATGACTGATAATCCACTGAGGGGCTTCAGCAGCCGCTCCTCACACTGGAACAAACACAGGGTGAATTAACAGCACAGACCTGGGTGTGTGTGTGTGTGTGTGTGTGTGTGTTCATGATGAGTATGAACGGGACTTCATTCTGTGAACCTTCTTGTTGATGGTGGAATCTCCTGACGCTGCGTTCCTGATGGAGAACACACTCAGACCATAGTCAGACATATCTGAAGACAGAGACGACACGTTCTCCTGTCAGGGTCAAACAGCTCTGCGTTAGAGGAGTACTGCTGTGACTGTACTGTAGTACTGTAGTACTGTAGTAGTGGTGACAGTACTTACACTGGGCGTGGTCTTCTTGTTTCCAGCCGAGGACTGTGAGCTTTGGGACGAGTTGATTTTTGGAAGACGTTTCTTTGCCGAACAAGGACTCCTGGGAAAAAAGAAGAGAAAAATCAGGAAGGATTTGATCAGAGTTAGTGAACCAATGAGAATCCTGCGATCAGGCCGAGGGCCACGCCCAGAACGGAAATGAATTCAGTCAAAATACTTAAGATTAAAGTTCAACATTTATGAGAAAAATATGTAAAAATAAACTCAAAAGATTAAAGTTTATGAAAATAAAGTCAAAAGTTAATGAGAAAAGAAACGTCTGACTTCCTGTTGGTGGTTTGTTCTTCCACAGTGGCTGTGGTTCATGTGAACTAATGAACACTGTGTTGGTGGAGTGTCTCCTCTCACCTCTTCAGTCCACTGCTCTTGGAGTATCTGCTCTCAGCTGTAGATGAGGAGAAACAGACGAACAGCTGAAAACCAACGGCCGCTGACGGAACCTGACGTTCCACACCTCCACCTCCACCTCCACCTCCACCCTACCTGGACACGATGACTCGTCCGTTCTCCGGATGATCTTGGGATATTTCTGGAACTTGACGTACTGGTAACTCTCGTACTCCATCAGCACCATCTCCAGGTCGATGTTGTCGCAGACCTCGAACTTGCGGAGGCCTCCGTTGGTCTCGTGGTCCAAGGCGGCGGCCGTGTCCATGTAGCTGGACACACACACACACACACAGGTCACAGAGGTCACACAGTGACAGAGGTGTCGGCCATGTTTGCCTCAAGAAGTAAAAGTCAGATACTGACCCCTGACCCAGCAGGTGGTGGTGAATGAGGATGAGGAGACTCTTCTTCCTCATCTCAGTCTTCACGTCCTCCTGTTGGACAACAGTCACAGATGGAAACACAGTACGGTCCACGTTTCTCTTTTGTTTTGTGATTTTGCAGCATAATAACAATAACTTCACAGATTTACTGCTGTAAAACGATATTTCGCCAGCAGGTGGCGACAGGTGGCCACCAACAGCGGTGTGGACTCACCGCAGCTCTGGCCTGATGAGCGACCTTCATGGACTGGAACGACAGCTCCATCTTTACTCTGACTGAGAGGCTGTTGTCGTGTGTCGATCTGCCCTCTGCTCTTTACGACAGTAACGGTTTACGACCCATTCGAACGTCCCAGTTTCTTCCTCCTTCTTCTCCTCTTCCCTGACTTCAAAGTGACGCCGACACTAAAGGATTCAAAGTTTTTCCATGACATTCCAGACCTGACGGTTTGTAGCGGCTCCAGGCCGTGTGCAGTGGTTGTCATGGTAACCACTGTAAACAAAAAGAGCTTCTTCTGTTCATTTGAAGCAAGCGAGCGAGCGACACGCAGCGTCTACTGCCATCTACTGGCCACGAGTGTGTATGGTTTTTTACACAGTGTCGGAAATGATCCCGGTTAATAACAGTGGTATTTACACCAGTGCTGGTCCCGTCGTTAGGTTATAGGTCAGCCCTATATCCGCCCCTGCCCCCCCCACTCCCCCACCGACCCTCGTTACAGGGCAGAATATTCCACTGTCCAGTTATTAACACAAACAAACATTAACTTCGTCTTTGACTTTTTCTTTCATTCAAAAAGGCTAATGGCTACATTTGAGGAGTAAAAAAATAAATAGTAGAATAAATAAATAAATATATTATATTAAATATATTAAATTAAATAGTACAGTAAAACACACACATTATTAGTCAGTGGAAATAAAAGTGAAACCCAATAAAATCCTTCTTTATCAGATAAATTCAGTGACTGATAAAGAAAAATCAGTTTCACCTTAAACTGACCTTTGTGAGGTCCCAGGGTGTGTGTGTGTGTGTGTGTGTGACTCGTCACAGAGGCCGTGGTCTATCCCATTAAGGTGCGTGGGCAGCAGTCGCCTGAAGTGGCTGCGTTACACACAGAGGCCCCCCGGGGGGGGTGGTGGA